CACCCACCTGGGGACACGGGCACCTGCACCCACCTGGGGACACGGGCACCTGCCCTGGTGCAGGACACTGCAGCCCAGCACTGCAGCAAGTCTGTGTGAAGTGGGACATCAGGGGACATGGAAAAAGGCCATGACCCCGACAGAACAGGAGCAGCTCGGTCACCGTTACCTCACCCCCAACTCCTCTCTGCCCTCCAAGAAGTGTTGGCATTGGATTTACTCACTGAAATCAGGCACAGCAATAAAACCAGCTAGCAGAAAAGCTGGCTGCTCCATCCCCATCTCATAAACCGTAGCTCCATGAGGCAAAATCAAACATTATATATATAAGCTAAAACCCTTACGTTAAAGATTTCTGTAAAGTTAATTCTCCCTAAGTAAAAATTTTGGATAGACTGAGAAAGCTTCAGGTTAAATGCCTTAAATTTTCTTTCATGTTTTAAGCACTTTCAAAATCAAAGGAAAATAAGGCTAAAAACATTTCAGGTGTATTTAGAAGTCTTTTTTTTTGCAGTTAACACATTGCAGGTACAACTCTCATCACTTCACAAGGAAAAAAACTAAAAAAATGTAAAGTACCGGAACTGCGGGAGGCTAAAGTCACCACACAGAGATACCAATGCTTTCCTCACTAGGGAATCCCATAATATTTGCGTGTCAGTGATTGACAGCTGTCAGACTGAACTGATTGACAGGCCGCACAGCACATAACTGTAAAGTCTATCCACTTGTTATAAAACAGAATACATAAAATGGTTACAAAAGGCTTTTGGAGAAAAAAAAAACATTATTCAAAGCAAACAAATACAGTCTCTTCTTTTAACTTTTCAACTTTAGAACAATCATGCAACAACAAAACTTTAAAGTCTTCAACTGCACTATTAAGCTGTAAAAATGCTTTAAAATTACACATTCAAAATTAAACTGCAGTATATAAAATCTAGTCTGGAACTATATCAGTTCCCCTCTGAAAGCACAATCATTTATGGAAAACACCAGATATAAGCAATGTTTGTGAAAATCAAGTACAGAATCAAATTATATCAGAGCACCCAGATTTTAAAAATATTCAAAGCTTCCTGAAGAATGAAACTGTCCCCAAATCTGACCTGTCCCCCAGCACTTCTCACTCCTGCAAGCATTCCAGGTAGGGAAATCTGCAGTAACTTCATAGTACAAAATAAAAATTGCAGACTTTCACCTGTCCAAAATGATTTGCCTTCAGAGGTGACCTTCCACACACACACATACACACACACACACAGAGGGACGTGGCAGTAAGTGGCCCCAGCTTTAGGTGACCCCATTTGATGTCCCCTCTCCAGGGGAGAGAGCTGCTCCCCACCACCCCCAGTGCAGGCATGTGACATTGGGAGATCATTAATCTACAATAGCTGACCTTTCATAAACAGCACTTTATACAGAAGATCTATTGATTCAAAGATTAAAAGGTCCCTCAGTGCCTGCTTTGAGACAGAAAGGGAAGATAGGGGAACTGTTTGAAACTTGACCAGAGGATCCTCAGGAATTGTCCCATCTGCCTCCACTGAGGGAACAGAGAAGTAACAGCCAGCTCTGGGGTTCTAGCCAAACAGGGTAAGACTCTTTTTCCTTCTCATGCTTCAGGACCAAAGAACTTGATTAAAAAAATTAAAATTAAGCATTACTTCAGTTAAGAAGATAATGTTACTTGCTTGGGTACATGAAAAAGAAGTGCCATTGTTTTAGCAAACTGTTTCACAATCACAATTCAGTTCTAGATATTCTAAAATTCAGTAAAACTGCAAACTTGAAGTTGTTCAGAAAGACATGGGGGACACCCCTGAGGTGTTTGCCTAGAACACCTCTGGAAAGTGCAGGYCTGTGTCCCGGGGCAGGCTCAGGGAAGCCAAGCACTGGCTCTGTCCCATCTCACTCACACCTCTCACACTGCTGGAACTCAAGAGTCCCCTTACCTTCTCTCCCCTGGTCTTCGAGTCTTCCTTCTCCTTCTTTCTGGCCGCTGTGATAAACTCATTAAACAAGGCCTCTCGATCTTTCATCTTTTCAATTGCCTTGAACCTCGAGTCTTTAGCATGCTTGGCTGCAAATTCACTAAAAGTAGTTCTGCAACAAAATGGCAAGTGAACTCATTTGGCAGAGCTGTCGAGGCTGGGAGGCAGGTTCAGCAGGGAATATTTCCWCTGCTGCAGTACATGCCAGAGCACAACTTACAAAAACCCAAAAGGCAAATCCTATGGTCTCACTACAGAAATGCTGGACCAACCAACTCTATAAAAGGAGTCAGCACTCACACAAGAGGTGTTTGTCAGGGGTGGGTTGGTGTGTTTGGATACAGCCACCTGCAGAAGGGGCAGGTGTAGAGAGAGACTACAGCACAACCAAGGAGAAGAAACAAAAAAAACTCAGTTGTCTACAAAACTCTTCTTTTCTGTGGGTTAGCAGTTCAGCCACCAGTCTGTCCAGGTATTTCACAGCTGTGAAACTGAAAATCTCAGGTGCATTCACTTGCAGCCAAATCATGCTAAGAGTTCACCAAGAAAACCAGCYTTTGGCAGGAGTCCCCACAGAACAGTGCAGCAACTCTTCCCCCTACAGTGCACACTGCAGAGCCTGAGCTTAGAGCACACAGAGCTGAACCCCTTCAACCACCGTGGGCAGAGGCAGCAATATTGGCCTTCTGACCCATCATCCCAGAGCGTTCCCTGACCRTTCTCTCACCTCCAGGGCCAGATTCCAACCTGTGCAGTAGGTRCATTACTGCCACTTACCTCGGAAAAAAATCACTACTGTGCTTTTTCCAAGCTCTGATGCAAATCTGGCCCCAAGAATACGTGAGACACTTATAATCATACGAATGTTTTCATCACAGCATGGAAATAATTAGACTTGGAAAATCCAGCCTACTGTTGCTGTAGGGTAAATTGAAACAAGAAGAGAATTTGGTAGCTTATTCAAAAGGATTAGAAAGTGAATGTACAGCTAGACTGAAGAACAAGAGCTCCTCAAGTGAAGTGGAACACAAACACTTGAGTATGTTGGTCTGAGATGATAAAAAAACCAGTCTGGCACTCACAGAAGTACAGCAATACCTTTAGACAAACACTGAAACCAGAAGACAAAGGATAAGATTAAACAAGACAGTATTTCAGCTGGAATTCYTTCCCACCCCAGCCCAAATCAGGTAAAGAATCAATCCCAACATGACASACTGGAGGTATGCTGAAAGCTRAGGATACTAAAGCTAACATAACTGYTTTGTAAAGCATTGCCATGCTTCCAGTCTTCCAGCCTACTACTGAGTTATTAGTCAGCTCTGAAACAATTTAAAAGTTACCATTACACTGTCACCGAATTTCCAGAACCAGTCACTGGAAAAGACTGAGCTAAAGTGAAACAAATGAGCTGTTATTTCACTGGAAAAGAATTAATGCCAGGTGAGCCCCGAGATGCCAAAAGAGGATGCTTCAAAGCTTATCTGGTGACATAAGCACGCATCTCATGACCTCTGTGTGAAGAAGCTGTGGAACAAACAACACCAGCAATGAAATCTTGAATGCACATTCACTGCCATCCCCTCGTTCTTATTACTGCCATGGTCTGAACATGAGGGGAGTGTCATCATTGCTGTATTAAAGCAACCAGAGCATTTGATCATATTATCATTGACATATTTTGTAACAAGAAAACATCCCTTCAGCCCCCTCCAAACCCAAGAAACTTCTCTACTACTTCTTAGAGACTTATTAAGAAGAAACAGGATTATTAAAGAAACTTGTGGGGGATCCGAGGTCTTTCTGACAATCCAGGCAGCATGCTGGGGATTTCTTCAACTTGAAATACATAAATCACCATACATATGTAAATAATTATAAATTACACGTTCTTCTATTTCATGGATTAGGTGAATAAAAGCAGACAAAGGAAGATTCCAACAGTATCTCATGATTTTTGTCCTCTTTGAACACTGTGAACAAGGTTAATCAACCCAATATCACCCAACATCCTACATCCTAGTAGAGTTTATGCACATGAATTACAAAAAAGCTCCTACCTTGGATTAATCTTTGCTTCTTCCATCATTTTCTTGAAATCCTCCTTGGCCTGCATTATTTTATTTTTCTTCTCCTTGCGCTCTTCCTCTGCTCGGGTTTTCACATACTGATCAAACACCTACAGAAACAGCAGTCACCCACAGCAAACACACAACTGACACACAGCAGCTCTAGGSAAGAGGGAGGAAAGATCCTCTTTCTTTCCTTCTCTCATCTCCTTTCTATCAACACACAATCACCACAGAGGAGGCAGAAAGCTCAGACACTTTGTATTTCAATATGGAAATGAGCCACACTGCTGCATCCACAGGGTGCTGTACCTAACACATCTTCTGACACCTGGGGAGAAGTTCCTTACACATTCCAGTTAACATTTTCCTGGGTCCCATGTTTCAGACACTTCCTGTATTCTTGAAGCTTTCCGTTCCCCTACATTCACTCAAAGAAAAGCTGCTGAAGTGAGAACTTGCTTAACAATAAAAATGCACTTCAGTTTCTTCTCCAAACACTTTTTAAAAAGAAAATAACTAGATTATTTATTATGCCAATACTTTGACAATATACTTGCACTATTTCATTCAGGTTTAGGCAGTGCTCTGTAGATATACAAGTTTCACTGTGTTAAAATATGAGATCTCCCAACCACAGGAAATAAAACAACTATCTAACACTTTCCCTTGCTGGTTTCTTCCATCTCCAGGCCAACCCTAATCRTAACAAAAACCCCTTGTAACACTGATTAGTCTGAAAGGTTTGCAGAAACAAAAACTGAGGATTCAGATAAACCTGTAGTAGCTGTGTCTGGATGGGAAGTGAATTTGACTTTATTACCTGTTTCCTTTCTTTTGGGTTGAGCAGCAAGTARCGAGGATCAAACACAATCTTGTGCAGCTCTTTCTCCCATGTTGAAAAGGCAGACACCTTTAATTAAATGAAAACAAATATACAAATTGTACAGGAGTTGTACCGTTTTGCTTGAAAACATTAAGACATGACGAGGGAAACAAATTCATCCTGGACTTTTCACCACTAAAGGATGGCAGAGGCTGTCAAAGAAAGTTTCAACATTAATCTGCCCTGGAAACTTCTAAAGGTTAATACACACTTACTTACTACTGCTTTGTGACATTAAAAATAAAATGTACATCACAAGAAAGCCTGGAGAAGCTGTGTTCTATAGGCAGCTAGAACCACTTTTMTTTTTTAGTTATTATCCAAATTTATATTCAACTAGTCTAATTCATCTATCAGAACTGATGRCATCAAGTAGATTTCATATTTAGTTAACTCAAAGCAAAAAGTCTCCCATTCAAGGATAAAACTGTACAGACCAGAGCTGAAGTTGCTGTTTTTCTCAGTAGGAACATTTCAAAAAACATTAAGGATGTGTCCAGTTCGTGTGTCCTATTCATCTTCAATGGCAGCTTCCACTTAGATAATTACTTAATTCAGGAAAAAATTGGGGGTAAAAAAAAACCAACTGTCTTGACCCTGTCATTTCAATTGCATAGAAATGAAAACTTTGCTGTAATTGTAATTTTCTTAGAAATCTGGAGTCTTGTACCAAGACCATTCATTGATCAGAAGAAGGATAAGATTGTTTCCTTATACAAAGTATTATAGATTGGGAATTTGCAAGAACTGAGACCTCAGCATGAACCTCCCTCTCTCCCTCCTCACACACACACATTTCTGATCCTCCCCTCCCTCTCTCCCTCCTCACACACACATTTCTGATCTGAACCTCCCTCTCTCTGTTCTCACACACACATTTCTGATCTGAACCTCCCTCACACACACATTTCTGATCTGAACCTCCCTCTCTCTCTCCTCACACACACACAAGTTTCTGACCCCTCTTTCCAGCAGCATGTCCTTGAACTGTTTCATCCGAGCCTCCAGTGGGACGATGGCTCTCTCTCGAGCAGCTTTAATCTCAGCCTCCATAGCAGCCTCCTTCTCAGAATCAATGTCTTTGATATCATCTTTCCTGAAAAAAACCCAAATGTAAAACTGTAAGCTGAGAAGTAAAATGCCAGCGCTGTGAGTTAGAACGTGAGCCACACCAGGACAGGGGTGGGTATCACTGATCACACCAGAGGAACAGGCTTACAATCCAGGAAAGCCATTCTCATAAGTGCACATGAATGCTTTCACACTAGAGCTCAGGAGCCAAGCTATTCCAATAACTTCAGTGCCAACAGATTACTTGAAAGCAATCAGCACACTCTGGCTCTACTCAAAGCTCTTATCAGATGTGCAGTAGATTCCACAGCAACAGCACYAATTTTCTGATCTTCTGCTCTGGGCCATGAGGCACTAAGGGAGTTTGTTCAGGTTAGAACCCCTCACAATCATGACACCAGGAATGCTGACACAGGTGAGAGCTCACCCATCACAGAGCTTCTGGAGAAGTGTGTTCATTGAGGGTTCTGAGAGCAAATGCACTTCATCCCAAACAGCCCCCAGCCCTTACTGCTAACAGCTCCATGATCCTCCGTAAGAGGACACAAATAACACTGTAAAACCACTCCTGACACGGCGTGTGTAAGTGTGTATCTCACGGATCACTTCCAAAAGGCAAACCAGACCAAAAGACATCAGCCGAACTTTTAAGCCTTTGCAACCAAGAAAAAATAGAGGAACCACTATGAAAATCCAGGAGCCTGGTTATTTTGACAACAAACATGTGCCCAGAAATTACCAAACAGAAGCATGCTATTTAAGACACACTGCACACAAAATATTCTTTRGATTCACCAACTTACATAGCTTATTACCCTTTCAAATGATTTCCAAAACACATGCTATTTCCCCTCTGCATGAGCTTCAGCTATCTCAGGGAAGTATCAAACACTTGAACTCTGAGCAGCAAAAAGCTGATGACTTTTTTAACCAACCCTCTTAGTTCCCATTCTCCTCTGCTGGACACAACATACATGGCTCAAGTGACAAACTTCACTTATTCTGCTTACACAGACCACTTGGTATTGAAAGMAAAAACTTACTTGCGCTTCTTTATTTTAATAGGCTCATCTTCATTTGCTTCCTCTGCAGCTTCATGCTCTTCTCTAACTGTAACAGATTTCAATAAAACTTTAGATTTTATATTTATTTTTTTTTTAGATTTCTGAGCGAAATCTCATGCACAGACCAAGGACAATATGTCAGCAATGGTGTTCTGAAAGGGAGACACATGATTCTCAGTCACCTTCAGAGTAAAACTATGGGAATTTGGGGACAGGACTGGTGCACCTCAGCCAACTTGAAATGCATAATGACAAACACTGAGCTCTTCTTTTCAGAGGAAAACAACTCAGGCTAAACAATCCAAGGAAGCACATTTGGATTTACCTGATTACCTGCACTTTGCTCTCCTCCAACTACAACACCCACATGTCATCCCAGGACCATTTCCTAGAACTCAGTCCAGAGAGAAATCTCCTCCCAGCAGCCTTTTGAMTGTTCTCTGCTCTTGGCAGCTATTCCCAAACTCTATTCCAACTGATGATCTCAGAGTTAGCTCCTGTTCTGTGAGAGCCCATTTGTACAATATGATTAATATTTTCTGGTCTCTTTCTTATAAAACAAACACAATCCCTTTTTTTGAAATCAGTAAAAACTGGGAAGTTTTTCAGCTTGCTGGCATTTAGCAAAACAATTAACCTTGTTAGTATCTACTTTCTTCAATGGGCTGTCTTCTCCCCAAAGGATTCTGCAATCTGCATTCCACATTTATACACCTTTTCAGCACGTCTTTATATTCCTGTCACTTATTTAAATGTTACAACCTTTGGAAAGCAACACACAATAAGAGGTAAGTTATATTCTGGTTTCCTAAGAAGGCAATAAAACTGCTCTTACTAAGTTTTTTTCCTTCTTCCATTCCTTTTTTGTGAGGAGGTTCTTGAATAATTTTGTCCACATCAGCTCTTCCAATGAGGTCATCGGGTCGGTCCCACATGGACAGACGGGTGGTGGGGTTGTAGAAGAACACCCGCTCATCCCCAGTCCACACCACACACCTGAGAGGTGACAGCAAAGCCTGGGTTACCTTTGTGTAAACAGGTACAAAAGAACACCCGCTCATCCCCAGTCCACACCACACACCTGAGAGGTGACAGCAAAGCCTGGGTTACCTTCACTCACACCCGTTACTGTTCATACACTGAACACCATGGTGACATGCACACCCAGCTCACACTGACTGCACAACTGCCAGACATTCCCACTGCCCAGCTGGGACCCTGATCTGCTGCTTTTCTCTGCTGCCAGATTTGGAAATACAGCAATTGAAATTTGAAATTGAAGATTAAATTTAAAAAATGCTTTTTTCTCAGGAGCCCCAGGATGCTCAGTTTTTCTCTGAGAGAAACCCATTTTAKATAGTGGAATCAGATTTTGGGATAAAATGTACCTCAACTCCTCAATGCCCCACAAAATACGAGAAAAAGCAACCTAACAATCTTGCCATAATTTTTTAAGCAATGGAATGAAAGAACCACAGAGACAATTTAAAGGCAGACAGCTTCAAATATTAAACATTAACAAAAACCAGCAATAGCTAAATTGCTAAAATGGAAACAAYAYCCCTTTTCCATCAGTAAGACTTTTYACCTCTGTCATGCAAATACACTGAGATGATTTACATATCTTACACCAAGAGTCACCTTTCTCATGACATCCCTTGAGCACCTGAGCAGTTTCTGGGCCAAGTTAAAAAAAAAAAAACAAAAAAGCTTGTTTTGGCCAGCAGCTGCAACTATTTGTTCCCCAAGGCACAGGATAAGATTTTTTTTTGCCAATATTTCATTCCAGATCAGGAGGAATTGGTGGCGAGGAAGAGGCTGGGACAGGAGATGAAGCCTGGTAACAGACCCCAGGACTGCAGGCACTGCTGTAGAATGGCCAAGGTGCCCACAGAGCACCAGGAGAATGGCATCAGTGAGCAGCACTGGCCACAGGAACCTGGCACTACTGGGCACAGCAGCACAGGAAGAACACACTCTTCACACACTACACTTGCTCCAACTCCCCAGCAACAGCCCTGGCAGTGCCATGGCAGGGTCACCTACCAGGGCGTGCCTGGAATAGGGGTGGTGGCAACCGGCTTGGCCTTCTGAGCTGCCTTCTCTTCCTCTGTCATTTCTTCCTCTTTTGGCTCCTCAAGGAAAGAAACAAGTTAGAGGATCAGGCAATGTCAGCTGGCTCATTATTTATTACCCAGTAACCAACTTGTTTTACAGAGACCATGCTGACATGCAGCCCACAATGACACTTCATCCATGCCATGGATGAGAAGCACTGGAATTGCAACAGCAGCTGCTACTCCAAAATCTCAATTCCAAAACCTCTAAACATTTACTCAACTTTTGACTTCAGCAAAACCTTACTTAAACACCTTCCCAGAGCTGCCCAAATCCTGGCAATTCAGGAAGGCCTGGATACAGGTGCAAGGGTTTATTTTCTGATAAATTTTCATTTAACCTTAAAATGAGTTTATTTGATAATGAGACAGAGTATGAAACAGTGAAAACCTGACATAACCTCTGTAGCAGAAATAAGCAAACTAAGAACTACCTCAGAAGTAAACAGGGTGGAGTGGCAACAAAACCCAGCAATTGCATTCTGTGCTTTTGCCTATTGAACTACACTGAAGTTCACAGAAATCAGGATAAAAGCTTTAATTTTTATTTCAATTCCCCTTAGCATCCTCAAAAACTATGCTGGGTTTAAGGTCTTTTACCTCCTTTATCAGTTCTTTTATAGGTTCTTCTTTTGGCTCTTCCTCTTCTGTCTCCATTGGTAAAGGCTCCTCCGAGGGCTCTTTAATTGGCTCTTTGACCTTCTCTTCCATTTTTTCTAAATAAAGATAGGAGTCTCCCTGAGTATTATTAAGAAACCACTATAGAACTGCATTTTCAAACACAACCACTGATAGTCTGAGCCATGCTCTCAGTATAAAGCTGTAGCAAAAAAAAAACCCCAAAGTACCTTTTTCTTTCAGTTCTTGCGGTTTTTCCCACGTGGACTCCAAGGTCCTGTTGTTGTAATAGTAAGTCTTTCCATCGGCTGTTTTGTACTCTGTCCACTCGGAGACAGCAGCTCCGGCCAGCGTGGCAGGGGAGGCGATGGCCACCTGCGGGTGGATCATGGGCACGATGGGGGGAGCCATGCCTGGCAGCACTCCTGGCACAGGGACAAAGGGAAAAAGGCAACAAAACAGTCAGTGACAGTGCAGGGCCTAGGGACCAACACCTAGCATCTACTGACTTCACTTACAAATACTCAAGCCATAGAAATAAACAGGATTGTTTTCAAACTGGAAAGCAAGGCATTGTAACCAAATTTCCTTCCTGTCTTTTGCAATCAGTAACACCCATTCCCAGGCAAATTAGATTTTAATTTATMTAATTTTAATTAATGTGTAATTCTGCAGAGCACAAACCTTGTTAGCTTTTAGAGATTTACTCTATTATTTCAAAATTAGTGCTCTCTTTATTAAAGAAGTCTTTATCAGATGACTGTTGCAAAAAATTTGGGTTTTTTAAAGTCTACTCCACTGCTTAATTATATTTAAAGTCTATTCCACTGTTGTCATTGTAAGAGATACTCCTATTGCTCTTAAAAAAGGCAAGAGTAGATTGACTTTGAGCCACCGAATTTAGAATAGAATTCTGATAAATTTTCAGTACTGGCATTAATTCAGAGCCTTGGATAAAACCTGATGAGAATGAAACATTCTGAAGTATCAGATTGTTGGGTTTGCTCAGTACTGCGAACTGATGGAAAAGAAACCATTTAACTGAATCCTAAAGCCAAATGGCAAGTAAATATCCAAAGATAAAACTGCCAGAATGCTGCAATATACTATTATCTCTCTACTCATCCCAACAGAGTGTAAAGACAGATTTGGAATGACAAGTTCTAGAACAACCAGTTGGATAGGATTGGAACTACAAGATCATCAATTTGAGCCTTTAACATTGCTAAAGTCTCATTTTAAATAATGGAAATCATACATTACACATTGCCATAACGTGTTCTCAGTGAGTGACTATTCTTAAATCCACAATTGAAATACAAAAGTTCACACTCAGACACACAGACACGCACACAACATGCGAGCACAGCCAGCCACTGCACATGTGGAGCAGGAAAACAAAAACCCACACAAGAAACTAGGAACTAAGTATGGGCATGAGAGTCACAGTCATTACAGAACTCAATGGTTACAGGAAACTGTATGGGAGTTTGGGTACAGAATAAGCTGACACTAACAGTTAATTGGGAAAGTTATCTCCTGACCAAAAATGATATTTGCATTTATACTGGTTTTGAAAATAAAGTATATGTAATCATTCAAGTGGGGAAGCAAATAAAGAAATAAAAGAAACAACCACATTCACTACCATGCCAACTTACAGACAAAACGAACTAGGATGGGTTTGGAAATTACCGGTCTTGGTGGTAGCGACTGTCTTTACATACGGGCAGCTGACTATTTGCATCATTGCTACACCTGCAAAACGGATAGGAAGCATGTTGGAAAGCTGCCATGGGATGTCAGCTACCACGGGGTGCTACAGACTTCCTCCCACAATTTGGAGTGCTATTTGCAGTTGGCAGAGAGGAAGCCTCCCGGCAAGAAAATGTGAATTACTTTTGCTTCAACATTTTATGCCCGATCAAATATAAAACTAATTTTAAGCTGCAGCAACAGTCTCTGATTATGTTAAACCAGCTGTTAAGCAAGTTATTGGGATGTAATTAAAAAGAAAAGAGGTATTTCAGTGAAGACTCAGGGGTTTAAGTTCATCCAAAGGGGAATGCAGCTTTCCTTGCAGGGCAGCAGCACAGGAAAATACCCCACTACTGGGGCTGCTTCCACAGGCAGCCTCTGCTGGGACAGACCCATGGACAGCAGCAGCACAGTGAAGATCAGGGGCTTTGTGGTTCTCAGTCTGCTGCTGCAGTTGGAGAGCAGAATGAAGGCAGAAGGACAGAGCTGAACTCGTCAGAGAAGAAAAGCAAGGCAGGGTGGACAGCCAAGCACAACCCAGAGGGAAAGCTGAGGGTATGAGGGTCATTACATGACTGGCTGGAGGTGGAAAAAAGGAGGTAAAAGAAATGAGCAATTAAGCTGCAGACAGAGGTACACAAAGCTGCACTAGGTCAGGGGCATTTTCTTTATTTTCCATTATCAAGAATGGCATGAGCTGAAAATGCTTTAAAAGCCAAAAATGTGGCACCATGCACTGGTCTGCTCTCCAGCTCAGTAAGAAATGACACAAGAAGGAACAAAAAGGCAAGCAGCTCATCCTCTTTGATCAGATCAAAATTCAGTGGGAAATCAGGCAAGGCAGAGGGGAACGCATTTCCAAAACCTCCATTTTGGGTATGGAAGGCAACTGTAGAACTGGCTGCTCCAGTCTGGACACTCAGAAACTCAAACACTTCCCTTCAAAAGTTCCAATTCATCATCTGAGGTGGGAAACGCTCCAGTGGAAAGTGAAATTAAACCCCTGTGTTTAAAACCAAAGTAGTTTCTGGGTTTGGTCATTAGAGATCTAGTATGGAAAGCATACATAAATGCTGCCAATTTTTTTGAACATAATTTGTGAGAAGACAGAATTGTAATGTTTTCTAAAAAAAAATTCAATGAGAGAATTGCAACTAGTTTTATTTTTAAAAGTATTGAATTGAGACATAAAAACATTGACTCAAGCAGCACTGATTGAAGTGTTTGTCTAAATTGGAAGGGTGGTGGTGTTATGCACTTGACAATGGATCTGAAAATTCGTTTTGTTAAGGAAGTTACAGCATGTCTCCAAGGTGGGTGAGTATAAACAACACTATCTGTGGGATTGCTGGAGTTAGGGATGCTGCAGCACAGATTAGACCCAGCAAACACCCAAGCTGTTTCCACTGCCAAGGTCATTCCCAAACATACAACTGACTTCAAATGTAGGAATTGAGAGAAAGCAGACTTACTTTTTAAGATCTGAGATTATGAGATATCACTAATGAACTCTTCCCTTGCTCCATCCTACTACAGTGTAACACAGAGATTAACTTTGAAATCACTTGACAGTATTGTTCAGTTCTGAACCTGTAACTTCAAACCCTCTGGCTGATATCATACCTGGTGCAGAAAGCCCCAAACATCGACAGTCTAACCTTCATTAGCCCTTCTGACTTCACCTGATACTGTCTTGAAGTAATTTGACTTCTCTTCCGTTTCTTGTTGCAATAAAATATATTATATTTCTTGTTACAATAAAATATGTAGTTTTGCTCTTCTTTTACAGTATTTAGAAAGCATCACAACCAATACAAGTTAGAATTAGCTGAAGGAAGATAACAGATTTCTCTCTGTAATTAAGCAAACTGCCAAATCAGACCCATTAGTAGAAGCAGCACTTTGCTGCCAGGGGTTCTTCTGACATGCTGTGGGTTCCACTGTGGCCCAGCTCACAGGGAGAGCTGTTCAGAGCCAACACTTCTTACCAGGGAAGTTATGAAAAAAGGCATTTTCAAAAATGAGTTTCTGGAGATTGATGTTCCTGCTCTGTCTTTGCTCCTGTACTGCACTACTCCCAAAAGGTTTTGAGAGCCCAACCCAGGCACACACCCAGAATCTCCATTCCCACTGGCACTCTCCTCCACTGCTCTAACCATCCCCATTCTAATCAACAGGTCACATTTGCACAGATTATATCCCTCACAGTGTGTAAGGACCCTTCATTCCATGCTGATCTCTTGCTGGCAAGGTTAGGATGGCAGTTCAGAACATTCTGCTAACCACCTTTAAGGATTAACCCCTTTTATTATTCTTCCAAAGCTCACTAATATACAGACTTCTTTCGCCCTGTACCCTTTTATTCATTTGCTGTTCAGCCTGGAGTATCACGTTCAGAATAGTATTTGTTTCCTGGTTTAAAATAACAAGTCCTACACTGCAATTATTTTTTCAGGCCAATACAGATCAAAGTAGCTTTGACCAGTTATTTTAAAAGACTATTCTAAAAGCAGAGGCAGCTAAAAGCTGGTGCTCTCCTCTAGTCAGCACTTTAACTGCTTTCAGGCTTATTTCCCTTATCAAAGGAGTGTTCTGAAAGGTTACTTTTCACCCACCCAATTCAATGGGAAGCAAAGGCCTCCCTTCACAGCCACTGGGTGGCTGCACTAGGACAGCAGAGAATTCACCTCACTCAGCCTGAAAAAAGTCAGAAACACAAGGATGCTGCTCAGAGCTGCTTGTCTTTTTGAATCCCAAACTAACTTGGATCCAATACAACTGCAGTCTCCAACCTCCCTCTGCAACACGASCAGCAGTTYTTGGTGTTTGTTTAGTRCCACTGTGCAGTGAAACACAKCACTTTYGTACTACAACAGGAACTCAACCATATTCCTGCAAATAAAATCTGGTGTGTAAGTGCTAAGTGTCATTAGTGATCTCCTGGGATGCCCTCTGCAACAACTACAGACAGCGAGTCCAACATTTTGCCAGCCTAAAATTCCTTGCTTAGGTATCTTAGTATTTCATAAAAACTTAAGAAARTATAATAYATCCAGAAGMAGTGTGCTGCCATCTAATATTCCTTCTCTGTGCTCTTTAAACCTAAAGCCTGTGAGTAACAACACCCTGGCACCCTAAATGCCTCATTATGGTCCTCAGGTCATACCTCAACAGTCAGCATCCTACCCAGTGGCTGCAGTCTAAGAGAACTGGGAACCCCTGACATCACTGGGGTGGTGATTTCCATGGTAATTCTTACTGCTCATCCATGTTCTAGTGAATATTTACACACAAGACTTAAGGTCTAAATGAAGTAAATACAAAAATTATTAAAGC